TTTAAGAGACTGAGCTGAAAACAGCACCTCAGACTGAAGAAGTCTCTTGGACGAGAGACGAAACGTTTCTACATTTTTTGTTGTTTTGCTTTGTTTTGGTTTTTTTTGAATGTCCAGAGGACCAGATTTAACTTTTTTAGATAACACTTTTCATTTAAAGCAAATTGTTTGATTTTGTTCTCATCTGTCCACAAAACTTTCTTCCAACAGTCGTCTGGCTTGTCCACATGATCTTTAACAAACTTTGGAGTAAACTTTCAGCAGTTTGGTTGGCCTTGTTGCTGTTTGAAGTGCTCTATAAATAAAGTTGTATTGGTATGGTATGGTAACAAACTGCAGATGAGCAGCAATGTTCTATTTGGAGAGAAGTGTCTTTCTCCTTCAACCCTGCCATGCACACTATTGTTGTTCAGTGTTCTCCTGATGGTAGACTCATGAACATCAACATTAGTCAATGTGAGAGAGGCCTTCAGTTACTGAGAAGTTACCTGGGGGTCCTTTGTGACCTCGATGACTATTCCACGCCTTGATCTTGGAGTGATCTTTGTTAGTCCACCACTCCTGGGTAGGGTAACAATGCTCTTGAATTTCCTCCATTTGTATACGATCTGTCTGACTGTGGATCGGTGGAGTCCAAACTCTTTACAGATGTTTTGTAACCTTTTCCAGCCTGATGAGCATCAACAACTCTGTTTCTGAGCTCCTCAGAAATCTCCTTTGTCCGTGCCATAACACTGCACAAATATGTGTTGTGAAGAGCAGACTTTGATAGAGCCATAGATACAGATACACCCTGGACAGATCTCCAGTCCATCACAGAGTCACATAAAGACAAACAAGACGAACAACCATTCACTCTCTCTCTCACGCCTAGGGACAAATTAGAGTTACCACTCAGCCTAATATACATGTTTTTGATCTGTGGGAGGAAACTGGAGTACCAGGAGAAAATCCACGCCACACGGAGAGAATATGCAAACTCCTCCGAGAATGCCCCCCACAGCTGGGATTTGATCAGATAACCTTCTCACTGAGTGGCAGCAGCTCTACCAACTGCGCCACCGTGCCACTCAGAAACAACATCCAAGATGAAACTACAACTTTTTTATGCGAGCTGTAGTGCTGCCCCAACAATATGACATCTAAGACAGTGAAAAAAAAAATCACTGTTATCAAAAACCACTCTCAGGTGTAAAGACTGTTGGTGAAACAACTTAAAGTACAGAAACCTTACCTGGTTTCCTGTGAGACCTGTAGGGCCAGGAGGTCCATCCACTCCCTATGGAGGAACAATATCACAGGTTTTACATGTAACAAAAATAAATTATTAAAATAAATAATAAATTAGCCTAATTATTGTTTAAATATTATTTCTACATTTTCTCCCTTTGCACCAGAAGCTCCACTTTCTCCACATTCTCCCTGGGAAAAAAAGAGGACATGGAATAGGTGAGTGGAGATCAGAACAACAATCTGTCCAATGTGGACACTGAGCCAAACCCAAATATCTAACACTGAATTTCTACAAGCTTTTATTTATGAAGACTAAGACAACATGCCGTATGTGTCAATATAAGAGAAGCATTGAATACTGTGCATCCATCAATAAAGGACTCAAAATACATGAAATTTAAATATTTACTTTTATCTTTTGAAGGTTATGATATTTTTATTCCATTCTGATTAATCTTAACTAAAAATTATCATTTAAAAAGCAAAACATATACATACTTTTATTCCTTTGCTGCCAGGTTGCCCCTGTCAAAATGGATATTTTTAAAAATAATTTTCAATGAAAAAGATCACTCATTCTTCCAAAAATATTATTATAGTGCTAGAACATCATGGGAGAGCAGAAAGCTTCCCTTTCAAAAGAAAAACTGGTAAACTCCCTTTAAAGTAAAACACCATTGTCACAGACCTCTGAGAAGTTCATTTTAATTCTGTATAGGTTTTTAACACAGAGCAGATTGCACCAAATGAATGATAATTACCCGAAGACCTTCTGCTCCTGGAAGCCCATTCATACCAGTTTCTCCCTGAAGGGATAAAGTCCAAAACAAAACAAACAGATTATTTAACAAATCTCTAAGAATTATCTCCATGATCAGCATTATTACCATAGTTATAGAAAATAAAAGAACCTTACGTGTGATCCCTTTGGACCTGGAACTGCTGATCCTGGCTCACCTGGCTTCCCCTAAAAAGAGACATAAAAATATATTACTTAAGTTTTTAGTTTAAATTGACATGTATGCCTGAGTAATAGGCAACTGAAATTCCTACATGTTTATAGTTTCAATAAATTATAAATATTGTTCTTCCTTTTTGCCCTTTTGAAAACAAAATTACTGTCAGACATCTCACATTCAGGTCAAACTGATTATTAGTCACTTGGCACAAAAGGCTTTGACCTTCACTCACTCATCTCTCCTTTATACTTGTTGTATACTACTTGAAATGGCTAGAACTGATCCCATATATCATCAAGAACAGCACAGAGAATGCTTTAGACAGGTTTCCAATTATGTCTAGAGCAGATCAGAGGACTTTTAATTACCCTAACATGAATGTGATTAGATCGGGTCAGAAAAGAAATGCCTAACCCTGTTTAATTAGACCGTCTCATTAGCGTGTCTAAACCTAACCCTATCTGAAAATAACCGTTTCATTAGACCCTGTGAAAACCTAAAACCACGTCCAAACCCAACCCTGTCGCATGTCTAAACCTAACTTATCACGTTTAGTGGTGTCATATACCCAGAGTTTTAATTGAGACACAACAGATCAAACAGTTTATAAGAGGTAAGTGTTTATTTACAAAAAGGTGATTCACAAGAATGCAGGAGGGAACTGCAGGAGATAGGATATGGTGAGTATGAGAAAGTAGAGACATATGGTTGATATCCAGAAATAAAATTGATATTGGTTACAGGATGTTTTCTCCATATAAGTGTCAAGCAGATACCAGAGGATTCCAGGATGGCAGAGCAGAACCAGGAGACCGGGTAAGTGGAGAAGGATGGATGAGAGTGGCAGGACAGACCTTAAGGCTGGATGAAGAGATGTTTAGTTGTTGGTTATAGATTTGATAGGTAGCAATTCCAGGGGATAGACCTAAGGAGGACTCAGGGAGTAGAAACCAGGTGTTGGCTCAAGGCAGATCTAGGAAGAAAAGAACTGATAACAGAAACTTTGAAGAGTACAAAGAGGTAAAGGTTAGTGTTAACACAAAGATACTTGATTTCACTAGGGCCCGACACAGTACCATAATTTGGACAATGTTCCAATGGAGACTGGTGGTTCCAAACAGCCTTGAGTATTGGAGAACCTTATCAGCTGATGGAAGGCAGCTGGTTTTAATGGGCTTCACCCTATCACTCAGTGCCATGATTGATTAGGATTTATGCACAGATGAGCATAGACTGATAATGAGAGAACTGACCAATCAAAGGAAATGGTAAGTGAATTTTTTTTATAGTATCCAGGTAGAGTCTCTGAAGGGGAACGTAAAACAGATGAGTATGTTGTTCAGGTATTTTAGGAGGAATACAAGTCCTGGATGATTTGATTAATTCATCTTTCTGTTTCTCAGGTATGGAGAGGAGGGTGAGGAATCCCAAATGAGTTGGACATGTTGATGGAGATGGGTGTGTGTGAAGAGTGAGAGAGTGGCAGGAAGGACCCAGGAAACTGGTCCAATATGATTGTAAATTTATAACAAGAAGTATGGCTGGTGTCCAGGCTGAGGCTCCACAATGAAGTGTCATGTTGCAGACATGAGAAGTCAGAATTTTTATGGAGGGAAAACACAGGGATAGGACTAGAAGGCACAAGGTAATGTAAAGGTTAGCCACGTCTCTCTTCAGTAAGAGTCTTAGGGCTGTCACTAGTTACCAAATGGTAGTGTATGTTCCAGCAGAGATGATCTGGGCTCATGTCCTTAAATATTCTCAGAAGCTCATCAGCCAAGATCAGAGTCAGCTGTAGATAATTATGCTCCACCCTGCCACTCTAAAGCTGCAAACAATTGGTTAATGAACATTCTTGAATACCACACTCAGGAGCTGCAAAAGAGTAATGAATGTAAAACCCCCAGCATCCCCACAGTCTAGACCTAACCATGTTGAATCCAAACACTGTCTCATTAATTCTAAACCTAACCCTGTCCCTTTATAAACTTAGACCCTGTCTAAGCCTAACACTGTCTAATCCAAACGCATCAGACCTAGGCAAAACCTAATTCTTTTCATTTATTATGATAAAGCCATTTTCTCATTTTAATGAGACAGAGATTTGTTGGAGAGTACATTTTTGCAGCCTCACTAAATTTTAAGTGTCTGCCACTAGCAAGTCATCTTTTAAAAACCAAAGCCTGCTTTTGGGTGCACAGTTTACATATATTAACATTCAGTCAGTAACATTTGTTTTTGTCCATCTCTGCCAACATTATACACTCCTTGGCTTGATTAGTACACACTTTGGCAGCTGCCCACAGGTGTATTTTAGTAATGAGGATGGAACTGTTTTTTTTGTTGTTGTTTTTTTTATAATTATTTTGTAGCATGTGTGATTTTTAGTTCTGGATTTGGGTCATGGCCACAAGTGTTTTCTGTCTGAGATCTTCCATGTGTGTGTTTAAAACTTTAGCTACGATTGTACTTGTGATGACCAATAGTAGACTTACAAAGGGAGAAAAAGGATAGAAATTGGAAATTGTTGTATTAATCTGTTTGGTTTAAAATACCAAAGCTGTATTTTAATTTTGGTAAAAGCTGGACAGTACTTTGCCAAAAGGTTGGATCCATTTGCAGTATGCTCACTGATAATAGCTTTACTGGCAACTGTGTTTTTGTGTGAATTTAATTCTTTTGTGGATCTCATCCCATTATTCAGTTTGCAGAAAAAATATTGATCTAATAGATATGAGAGGTGCAGGATGGCTTCTAAACTCAACTAAATAGTTTAGGGTTATTCAATAATGCAGTAAATTGGTTGTTTAGAGTTGAAATTGTTACTTTTTTCTAAGGGAGGACTTGTGAGTGGCTGCACAACTTTACAAGTCTTCCTCCCCATTTTAAAGCCATGATTATTTAATTGACATTTGAAGAGAAATTTCTATGATATGACAGTAGTTCCCTGCTATGATAGTAAGTCCCTGTATGACCGGTGTCAGAGCTTGGTCCACATTGTCGGCAGCAAGTCGGGCTCGTTCCTGGTGAGAAATGGACTCCGCCAAGGTTGCCTTTTGTCAACGATTCTGTTCATAACTTTTATGGACAGTATTTCTAGGTGCAGCCAAGATGTTGAGGGAATCCGTTTTGGTGGCCTTAGGATCGCATCTCTGCTTTTGCAGATGATGTGGTCCTATTGGCTTCATCAGGTCATGATCTACAGCTTTCACTGGGGCGGTTCGCAGCCGAGTGTGAAGCGACTGGGATGAGGATCAGTTCCTCCAAATCCGAGACCATGGTCTTGAACTGGAAAAGGGTAGAGTGCCTTCTCCGCGTCGGGGAAGAGGTCCTGTCCCAAGTGGAGGAGTTTAAGTATCTTGGGGTCTGGTTCACGAATGGGGGAACAGAGGAGCGAGAGATTGATAGGCGAATAGGTGCAGCGTCTGCAGTGAAGCGGGCGCTGTACCAGTCTGTTGTGGTGAAGAGAGAGCTGAGTTAAAAGGTGAAGCTCTTGATTTACCGGTCAATCTACGTTCCTACCCTCATTTATGTTCATGAGCTTTGGGTTGTGACCGAAAGAATGAGATCACAGATACAAGCAGCCAAAATGAGTTTTCTCCGCAGGGTGTCTGGGCTCTCCCTTAGAGATAGGGTGAGAAGCTTGGTCATCCAGGAGGGACTCAGAATAGGCCGCTGCTTCTCCACGTCAAGAGAAGTGACCTGAGGTGGCTTGGGCATCTGGTTAGGATGCCTCTTGGACTCTTCCCTGGTGAGGTGTTCCGGAGACGTCACACTGGGAGGAGGCCCAGGGGAAGACCCAGGATATGCTGGAGGGATTGTGTTTCTCAGCTGGCCTGGGAATGCCTTGGGATTCCCCCGGAGGAGCTGGGCCAAGTGGCTGGGGAAGGGAAGTCTGGGGGCTCCCTGCTTAGACTGCTACCCCGGTGACCCGACCCCAGATAAGCAGAAGAAAATGGATGGATGATAACAGTTAAGTAAATGGTTTGCCTCTGCACAGCAGTCTCTGTGACCCTTACATGAAATAACATATTTTTCACATCTTCAGCACACTTTACAGCATGTTGTGTCTATTGACAAACTAACACAGCACACTTACTGGACTCCCAGGCAGGCCTTGCTCTCCTTTCTCACAAATGCAGTTTTTGGGTTGTGGGCACTGATATATAGACATGAGAAGACACAACACACAAAATTATTTAATATATTTTTATCCTTCAATTCACTGAGAGGATGAATGTTAGTGTGTGCTTCTGTGAACCTTAAAGACCAAAACACCCCCAATGAAACAAACTTTACTCTTAATGACAAAATCATTCATCTATGTAAATTAAAGAGTGACTTACCCCGCCCTTTATAGCAGTATGCTGAAAAAACAAAAAGTTCATGTTTTATTCAATTCAATTCATTTCAGTTCATTTTTATAGCGCTAAATCAAAACAGAAGTCATCTCAGGGCACTGTACAAAAACATTCATATACATTATGAAAGCCAATTAATAAAAGTTATCTATCTAAGAAAGCCAGGAAACAGATGAATCTTCACTTCATCACAGTCTCGCATCCCGAGGAAGAGCATAGGCAATAGTGGAAAGGAAAAACTTTCTTTTAACAGAGAGTGGCCATCTGCTTTGATCAGCTGGAGTTTCAGAGGACAGGAAGGAGAAACAAACATAATGACAGATCCAGGTGTACTTTCTATTGGAAGAAAAACTTAAAAAACATGTTAAGGATAGAAATACCAACAAATACAAACAAGTAGAGTAGAGCAAGTAAAGACAGTAGCAGAGTGAGGAAATGTGGTCAATTTGTTCTCCAGCAGTCTAAGCCTATAGCAGAATAACTAAAGGATAGCTCAGGAAACACAAGCAAACCCCAACTCTAGGATTTATCAAAAAGGAAAGATGTAAGCCTAGTTGTCAAAGTAGACAAGGTGTCAGCCTCACAGACAGAAACTAGAAGTTGGTTCCACAAGAGAGGAGCCTGATAACTGAAACCTCTGTCTCCCATTCTACTTTTGGAAACTCTGGGAACCATAAGTAAATCTGCAGTCTAAGAGTGAAGTGCTCTGATAGGAAAGTATGGAACAATAAGATATTCAGTATAAATGGAGCTAGGTTGTTGAATGTTTGTTTGTTTGAAATAATATTTTGAATTCTGTTCTGAATATGACAGGGAACCAATGGAGAGAAGCTAAAACCGGAGAAATATGGTCTCTTCTACCAACTGTCAATGTGAGCGTAAAAGCGGTTCTACTCTGTCTCTCTCCTGGATACCTGAACTTTACACCCTACCTCTAAGGGAGATTCTAGCTACCCTGCAGAGAAAACTCATTTCAACTGCCTGTATCAACTGTCTCATTCACTACCCAGTTTTTGTGGCCGTAGGTGAGAGTGGGAATGTAGACAGGTAAACTGACAACTTTGCCTTACAGCTCAGCTCCTTCTTCACCACAACAGACTGGCACAGAGTCCGCAATACTGTGGATGCTGCACCAATCTGTCAATCTCAGGTTCCATTCTTCCCTCACCCATGAACAAAACTCCAAGATTCTTGAACTCCTCCACTTGAGACAGAACCTTATTCCCAACCTGGAGAGGGCAATCCACCCTTTTCCGACTGAGGACCATAGCATTAGATTTGGAGGTGCTGATCCTCATCCCATCCACTTCATACTTTGCTGCAAACAGCTCCAGTGAGAGCTGTAGATCATAGAACAATGGCATCAAAAGGAACACATAATCTGCAAAGTGCAGAGAGAATCCTAAGGCTACTGAACTGGACACCCTCAGCCCCCTGACTGCACCAAAAAATTATGTCTATAAAAGTTATAAACAGAATATGTGACAATGGGTAACCCTGGCTGAGTCCATCACCCACCCTGAAAGGGTCTGACTTACTGCTGCCAATACAAACTTAACTCTTGTACTGCTTGTATAGGGACCAAACAGCCCACAGCAGTGGGCCACCAATCCCATACTTGTGGAGTATCCCCCACAATGTATTCCAAAGATCATGGTCAAACACCCTCTCCAAGTCCACAAAACACATTTAAACTGGATGGGCAAACTCCCATAAGCCCTCAAGGACCCTAGTGAGGGTAAAGAGCTGGTTCAGTATTCCACGGCCAGGAATGAACCCACAATGTTCATCGTGGAGTCGAGGTTTGACCAACGATTGGACTCGCTTTTACAGTACCCCTGAATAGACCTTACCAGAGAGGCTAAGGAGAGTGATGTCCCTATAATTGGAGCACTTTTGGACCCCCAATTTTCAAAAGCAGGACCACCACTCCATACTGCCAATCTAAGGGCACTACCTCCATTGTCCACGCAATGTTGCAAAGGTGTGTCAACCAAGACAGTCCCACAATATCCAGAGTCTTAAGGAAATCAGGGCAGACCTCATCCACCGCAGATCACCACTACCATGGAGTTTTTTAACTACTACCTCTATGACCTCAGTCACGGTTATGGACAGACCCACCCCAAAGTCCCCCGACATATCTTCTTCCATGGAAGATGTGGCAGTGGGATTAAGAATGTCTATAAGTTTTCCTTCCACATCCTGATGACATCACTGAATTTAGTTCAACAGCACCCCACTTTCACTGAACATAGTATTAGTTAAGCGCTGCTTTCCCCTCCTCACCCATCTAATAATTTGCCAGAATTTCCTCAGAGCTGACTGTTAAGATATTTCCTATTTAGACTGGTCCTATGTTTTGATCTGCTCAGAGACGGGATTATAATGAAATTATGACCCGGTTCTGACTGGGTTAAACTGGGCCAGCAAACTCTTAAGAGAGTCTCCCTGATAATTCAATATCTGTCAAGAAATAGTTTATTCAGCTTGCCACATCACGTAGAAAAGGCTTAAAAGCACCGTCTCATGTTTTCCTTACACGTCAGTCCACATAAAACCACACTTAGTCACGCCCCTCATTCAATGATAGGCTGAGCTCCCCTTCTGCGAAAGGCGGAGTCTAGGACCCCATAAATGAGTGACGGCACGGGACTTCGGGGCACTTCCAGTTCTGTGAACGCGTCACAGGATTGTGTAGAGTCCAGCGCTGTGAATTGTAATCTTCTCCTGCCTTTTTTAATATAATTGATAAAACTCAATGGACGTTTCCTTGATTTATTTGTTAGCATGAGTTGCCACTTCTCAGGGAGGTTCGAGCCGGGGGTGAAGACGTGGGCTGGAGGGGGTTTTTGGATCCGGTGGCCCCGCAGCCAGATCATGTCTTTAACATTACCAAGAATCTCTATCCAAGGCCTCACCCATCTCATCCCGCATGTGAGCTTTTGTCTCAGCAACAGCCAAGGTTGTGGACTGCTTAGCCCTCCAGTAAGCCTCAGCTGCCACCCAAGTCCCACCAGCCAACAAGGCCCAACGGGACTCCTTCAGCTTGACAAACTCCCTAACAAGGGGTGTCCACCGCCGGTTTCATGGATGGCCACCATAAGAAGCACTGCCAACCTTGAGGACATAGCGCAAGGTAGCCACCTCAACAATTAAGCCACAGAACATAGCCCACTCACATTCAAGGTCCCCCGTCTCAGCTGGGATGCAGTTAAAGCTCTTCTAGAGGTGTGAGTTGAAGATCTTTCTGATGGGTTCTTCTGCCAAGCAACCCCTTACTATACATTAGGGTCTACCAGGTCCGACTGGCATCTTCAGCTGTCATCTGGCCCAACTCACTACTAGGTAGTGATCAGTTGCCAGCTCCTCTCTTCACTTGAGTGTCAAAAACATATGGCCACAAATCAGATGGCATGAATACAAAGTCAACCTTTGATCATCTACAACCTAGGGCAGCCTGATGCCAAGTGCACCTATGGACAACCTTATGTTCGAACATGATGTTTGCGATAGACAAATTATGACAACTACAGAAGTCCAACAACAGAACACTGCTTAAGTTTCAGACCAGAGAGGCCGTTTCTCCCAATCATGTCCCTCCAGGTCACCCTGTCATGAATGATAAATGGCAAAGGAACTGTAATTATATATTGTCTTTCTATCTTAGCAAGATACTCAAAGCACTTTACAACACAATCTCTGCCCTCATTTACCTATTCGTACAGCACTCTACTATATTTATACAAAGAATAATCAGTGTTTTATCACATTCATACACCGATGGGACACACATTGGAGCCAATGAGGGGTTCAGCGTCTTGCCCAGGGACACTTCGGCAAGTGACTGGTGGAATCGAACTTCCAACTCTTGCATTGGAGGATGACTGCTCTAACCACTCAACTTCAGCCACCCATAACACGCATGGACATTGAATTCTCCCATCAGAATAAATGAGTACCCTGCTGGCACACCTTCCAGTAATCCTTGTTAAGGATTCCAAAAAGACCAGATACTCTGAATAAACTGACATTCAGAGCATAGGCACAAACAACTTGCAGTACCCATCCCCACAGCTGAATGCATAGGGAAGCTACTCTCTCATCTACCATGGAAAACTCCAACACACATGCACCAAATCGAGGGTCTAAGAGTAGATCCACCCCATCTCGCCATCCCTCACCAAGGACAACTCCAGAATGGAAGAAGGTCCAGCCCCTCTCAAGTAGATTGGTTCCAGAGCCCATGATGTGCATCTAGCTTTGGGAGTGGTGGCACAGAGGTTAGCGTACGTGGGCCTGTGATCAGAAGGTCACCAGTTCAACTCCCTGTACCAACAACATCAAAATATAGATGGGAAAGGTGAAGCACCCACACCTGCTTCCACCCTTATTTGCCCCAATCTTGTCCCCTGAGCAAGGCCCTTAAACCCCACCATCTGTTCCTCCATGTGTCCCAGATGACAGCTCTCTGTTCCAAACAGAGGGCTGTGGTAGATCGGTGGTCTGTGGTTGCATAAGGAAAGGCATCCGGCATCAAAAATAATTGCCACCTCTTGGTGCAACTTAGTTTGCTGTGGCAATCCCTGAAGAAGGGAGAAGCCAAAATAAGAAAAAAAAAAAACCGTTCTAGCTTTACAGATAACTTGCCTATATGTTAGCAGTTTATCACTCCAAGTTAAATAACATTATTCCATGTAAGTGGAGCACCATTTTCTTTACAGTTTTCTAGTTGCCTGTTTTAAAGTATGTAACTCAGAATTGAACCAAAGAGACAGCCAGCTTCCTCAGATTAATCATTTTCTTTGTCAGCAGAGCAATTTCACCAAGTTTACATGAACTTATAAAATTATCAAGATCATCCAAGTCACTGCTCTCTACTGTATCCTGATGCATGCTCAATAATCCAGGTAGAAAAATCTAAAAAAGTTAAATCTGGTCCTCTGGACATTCAAAAAAACAAAACCAAGCAAAACAACACAAAAAATGTAGAAACGTTTCGTCTC